GCAGTAAACAGCATTGACGATTTAACGATATAGCGCCTCATTGTAAGCCCTTTTCCATGAGTGTAGTGGAGAGGGTGTTGATAAAAAGATGCAGTTTCAATAGCAGTCAGCTGGTGCTCGCTTGGCATATGATATGATATACGCATTGTCGTTGGCGGGCATTCACGGGATTCCGTTTGTGTCAACTCTGTACTTTCTTATACTCGCTAAAGGGGGCAAGCAGTAGATAGCATTTCCGATAAACTTTAACAACCAGTGATCCGTTTCGTTGTAGTCTACGCAGTGAAATCCGTTGTAACTCTGCTTCTCAAGTGGCTGTGCCTCGTCCGAGACCTTCGATATACGCAGAAAGATGTTCTTGTCAGTGACTCATACACTCAGCAGTATAAGCATACTGACGATAGCATCGATGTGTCTTGTAAGAGATACATCAATTCCAATTAATTTCCGAGTATTACAGCGCATAAATAATTGAATGATTTTCAAAATACATCGCTGAAGAGACGTTGCACGCACTCAAATCGGCTGAGCAATTAACAAAGATTTTACCTCAATAACTGAGACAACTTTGATGAATTTGACATTTACGAAGTTCTTGGAGTATTCTCAGCTATTCAGTGTACTCGATGAACGTCTCTAGATTGGATATCGACAGATAACCTTTTACAGTTACTTTATCGAAAGTGAAGCATGCTGAGACAGATTCTAATAAAAGTGTTCAGAGACAGGCTAAGTGTAAGGTGCAATGGTAACATGTAACATGTATCGAAATGAACAATCATTCTGTTGTATCTTCTAATTCATAGCAGTTGATCACTTAGATGCCACGTGAGTATAGAGACTCTGAAGTCAATGGTCTTGAGAAGGCCACTGCGCGTAGTAACAACCATTTTGCTTCTTTTTTATTTTGTAATCTTTTTTATAAGCAATCTGAGATCACTGTGCGACTTCTTATAATTTTCTTTTATGAAATGTGCTAAGTAATGAATCCTTAGTTGTAAGAAAACTTTGAACCGTTCAGCTTATCGCGCTCCATTATGAAGTCAATTAGAATAAAATTTATTCGTGTATATAATTTCATTCACAGTGTGTCTCACGGAAAATAAGGGAGCAATGGTGATGATAAAACTCTGGCTTTATCTCTTGATTTGACTGCTTTAATAGACCTAGCTCAAAAAAAAACAATAATAATCCGATAATTTGATAACATGTTCTGATCATTCATGAGGTCTGGTATCTCTCTTATACGGTACTAGACAGGCCTGTTTCGCCTTTTGCTCATCAGCAGTTTCTTTCGGTTTTGTCGAAAAGTCGAAAGAAGAGGTATGATTCACTTTACTAGTCACGAGTTCGATCGTTAGTCACTATAATGTCGGGGGATTTTATAGCCTGAATGGCGATAATTTGTTATTCGGCGTCTAGGCTTTATATATAGGGATATCTTCCAGCCAAAGGATCTGCATAATCGAAAAGCATCGTAGCACCTCTAAGCATGAAAATTCCGAACAGCACTGTATGGTTCTGCATAGGTGCCATATCAGACCTCACAAAGTCTCAAAGCATATTATCATAAAATCCAACTTTATCAATTTAATGACAATGAGTATATCCCGCAAACTGTATATTGGATCCAGGTGATTGAAAATAGGTAGAATCAAAATCTGCTGCCAACCAGTTCCCCAAACTCTTGGGAACAGTGTGTAAGAAAGCGCTCTTGATTCGAAACTCCGCGATTTGATCTAATACAAACCAATGCAAGAATATCACAATATCGATCACATTGCTTACATATAAAACTTTGTTGGAGCTTTCATAAAAGGCCTCAAAAAAAGCTGTACGACACGGACGAAGTAGTTAGGTAAACAACAATGGGCATGTTTTGTACAGCACTCCGCTTTGTTGATAAGCATGTATTGAGCATTGTCGAGAAGGATTAGGATTTTCGGTTAGTGACTGTTGTTAACTGTAATGCCTTTATTTGATTTATTAGTTTGTTTTATTATCTACATGATTTAAAATTGTAAAATAATGTCAAGAGAGCAAAGAAAAAGGATATTGACATCATTCTTAGCTAAAGTAGTGAACGCTACGAAGTCGCTCGTGTGGATGGCGCCATTGAAGTGAATTCGGGATACACTGGTTGCTGACTGATCCCAGAAGAGACGCTAATATTCTTCGAGATTTCGTTCTAGTGCTTCTTCGATCAGCGCAATCTCCTCCCAACTGCGGCGTAACTCTGAACGTGTTGAGGTCACACAAAAATTATCACAATAAGCAAATCAGTAAACTTTATGGAGGCTCTAGTTTGCTGATCATGTAGTGTATGCAACATACTTGTCGAAGAAATTCTCTAAAGAGTGTCAGTCTGTTTAATTAATATGTGTTGAGCATGGTAGTGCCGTCGCAGACTTTTGCTGCGATTATAACCGCGCCAGGAGTGCCTTTTGATTTTTTAGAGATCCTCGCTATTTATTCAAGTGCATACAATTAGTAGCACTTTACAAATAAAGTTAGCCACAAGCTTGTGCTGACTAACATGCGTACACACATCGATTCAGAAAAAAATAGCCTCCATCAATACTGGTGATTATGATGTTTGTCGCGGCGCGCGCGAGGCCGCATCTCTTTTCGACACTGTCCGGCAGTCGGCAACGAGCGCCTTTTGGCACGCCTCAGCCACGCTATCATCGAGATTGCAAGCAGAGGTGCTCAACTAGTGTTTACGACAATCAAGAATAAGACGAAAAAATAACAAATTAAATGCTAGAAGTACTGGGATCCGTACAGTGAGAACCCACTTTGTGAAGATGGATTAGTAAAATGTTTTTAATTGCCTAAGACGAAGTAGTTTTCAAAAACGAACCAGGCCTCATGTGTAGAAACGTCTCCACGATACTATTGAGTACCCGGTCCAGCCTGATGCGCTGAATGGTGGCACGACACTGAAAACATTTATTTACCATTTTGTTAAATGTGACAGAATTAAGGAGGAAGAGGGGAAGGTGCGGCCCGTTGGTTGTGATGCCCGTCACGACGCTGAGCGGCGTTGATCCCACCACCCTCCCAACCCTCTGGTGGTTAACATTGAAAGCCCCATAGAAAGAAAAACACAGGAAGACCATTCTCAAGATTGCAAGGTGATCTGCTTGACCCAGTTTCCTTCGTCTTTGAAGAAGAAGACGAACAAGGAAGCGTATGCTAGAGGTATTGCGATCCGCATAGTAGAATGTGATAGTGGATCGTGTAAACTGATATACAAGCCACAAAAGAACTATTAAGAACAAAAAGAACAAAATGGTTAGTAGTAGATTATGAACGACAAAATGTTGAACGGTTTTTTTGGCTGCTTAAAAGTGGGACAGAAAGTTATTAGTTCCAGACTACAAATGCTGTTGATTTTTTTTTCTATATCTGCAGATGAGTAAAAAGTTTGTGCGGTTTTGGTCTTTGTTAATATTTTTGCAATTAACTTGCATGACTTTAGCGTCTTTCAGATTCGAAATTCTATGCAAACATTTGGTACTGAACATGCCTATACTTGCCTTGAGATAGAGGTATTTTGGGAAGAAATTCGCTTGCTAACCAGACACAAATTTAGACGAATTTTTGCATGAGTAGCAAACGAATTTCTTCCCAAGACAATTTCATCATATAACAAGTACAAGCAAGTTATATACCAAAATGCCTGTAAGAAGATGTGCAGTTGTACGATATCAAAATGATGCAGTATTCTCGCAGTAGTGGTATTGAAATCCGGAACAATACGAAATCTTCACATATCCCATTAGATGGTTTTGGTGCAGCCAGTTGAAATATGTAAAAACAAAAAAAATGAGTATACTAACAAGATACGTATGTAGGGTAAGGTAAATGTAAAATACAGTTCTATAGAGTTGAATGATATATGAAGCAATGAACTGGATAAAAGGCGGCTTCAAATACCTGAGGGCAATTTCCGAAGGACTGCCTGAGCCATAATAACGCGCACGAATAGCAGTACTTATGATTACATGGATCAACACTGTAATAGGAAATATTCACAGACGCAACACTAGCAAATGAATATAATCATAAGCAATGAATAATTCACAATGTTCAGCCTTATTATTTTCTCAGTTTTTCTCACCAACGGCATACGAGGCAGATTGAAACCATAAGAGTGTTCAGAGACGAGTAAAGCCTGCAACCTAAAGTGGCTTTCAATCCACGACCTTTCTTTCCAAGGGCTTATTAACTTTCCACGGCACTCTCAGAAATGACAAATGCAGGGTTCGAAGCCACCTCAGGCCCAAAATTTTGCACGTATCGCAACACTCTTGTGATAACACACGTTTTCTCAATTTTACCACATTACGCGGACTTAGTATTGAAATTTTCGTTCAGCTAACTTTTGGACATCTTCTCCTCTTTCATGACCAACTGATCCGAGTCATTTGTGTGTAGGCCTTTTTTTATATGATGACAGAATAGGATTAACTACAATTAGAAATAAGACGTACTTGATCGGTCTTAAGAGTACCTTCAAGCATATACAGCACGTTAGATGGGCTTCAAGCTGACTAAGCGGCGAGGGGTCGCCTTGTCCTTGTCGGTCTACCTAAAGCTATCTCGAATATGCACTTCACGCTACAATAAAACATGTCGTTATCACTGCATTTAACGAGTTAGTTCAATCCATCGTGCGACGATAAATTAGTATGTAATGAAAAATTCTGACAAGACATTTTAAGAGTTTTTTGAGGTCACTCATAGCGCTTATATTGTACTAAATGTACTTTTTGGCCTTTCTGCTTCATCAGTAGCATAGAGCCTTTCGTTTCATTCAAACCCTTGTGAAGGAGTACATCCCCTGTATATCGAATTGACGACGAACATATTAAACTGCACGCGTAAGGTAATAAGAACAAGTAATGTGCAATGTTTTACAATTCATTGCTAATAAGCAGTTCTATAGTATTCTCGATATATATCTAAGAATGTTGAGTGATTTACGTAAACTCGGCATCAAGCGCGATTTGAACCCGCGCCCTCACCCTTGCCAGAGGTGCGTGCTACCATCACACCATCGATTCCACTGCTCTGCTAGTATTTTTTCTTCGATATAAACAATCGCAGTGATTGATATGGGTGAAAAGCGGGTTCAGCTACCGTCGAAATTGATTGTTTTGTATACTAAGCAACATTCCCAGGTGCATATTTATTACACAATACTCTCAAATCCCAACGACACGTTGATGGAGACATAGAAGTGGTGCTATTTTATTTTCGATTTGGTAAAAACTTCAGTCTAATTCTTCATCTCATCATAAAGCATTAGGCTGTTTTGGCTATTACATTAGGTGAAGTCTTGTTTAAAGATAATGAGCAAACAAACTAAAACGGGTATCTTAACAATTCCATTTGTACCTGCTGGTCCGGTAATCCTGCAAATAGGAATTTAAATACATATCTCAGTGATAAAACGTAATACTAGCAGCAAAACTAACGTCTCGATTGTGGCACAGAAGGAGGAGCCACACAAACAATTTCACTTTGTCCATCATGAAAGTGAAATCTCACATCGAGAGAATCTAAAAACTTTCCAAGCGCTGTGATCACGAAGCTCACATACCTATTCTCAGCAAAATAAACTCAGAAATTTTTCCGTCTTGAAAAAATCTGATTCTGAACTAATACAATCAGTACATTTTGAAAGAGGCTCAAAAGTAAAACGCAAACGAACAATATGGAATTAGATGAAATTAGAAGAAAAAAGTTATCTCTCACTGGTTGACACCGTTATTAGGTCACCGGAGGCAAGATTTTTCCCTCTTCTTCTTGATACCGGTTTACCGTTCACAAACACTTTTGCCCTTCTGAACAAACTTTTTGAAAGAAGTCAGCACTGTGATGAGGTGGAAACAAACCAACGATTGAGCAAGAGAAGTTTCGCTAATAAAAATTATCGGATCATTTTCGTCATCTATCCCCACTTTCAGACCCCGGAAAAAAACGTATTTTTTGGTCTCTTTCGAGTTTGATTAGTAACTGACAGCATAAACCTCAAAAAATTTTGAAAATATACTTCTTCCTAAGATAGCCTTCCTGTTGCACTCTGACTGTAAAAATAAAATTTTGTTTCTTATTCAAATATTTCTTAAAAAGAAAACATTTTTCTCCTAGATTTTAGTAAACATTCGGTAGTTTAAATCTTAGCAGCTCCAGCATTGTATTCGAATTTAAAAAACTTTTTGTTATGATGTGAGAGCCAAACAGGATGGAGTATCCGCAAATTACGACCAATTTTTTCATGCGCACCTATGTCAACTTTATGAGAAAAACGCGGTTTTGTCTTCATTCTGAGTAGCAACATTCATCTTATAGCTCAAATTTCAAAAATTTCAGTGGTGTATTATGATTTTGAAATCACTTCATTATTGTCCTCTGACAGCAAAAAAAATTATGCTTCTCATTTGAGCAATTTTTCGTTGAACAAAGCTTTACCTTCAACTTGCAGTGACCATTCGGTAACTCTAATTTCGACTATTTCGAAGATTTACTTGGACTTTGAGAAGGACTTTTTAATGCGTTGTAGCAGCTGATAGAATGTTAAGTTTCGCGCAGCGCGACACTGACACCAATCCATCGCGGTTTGCCTGTAAATGCATTGCATTCGCAACATCGGCACTAAGTCCCACGCTTCGCTGGTGTCAGATATGCGTAACCCAATCTTCTTCTTTGTACAATGCGCTACAAGCTTTTTTCAAAACACACGCATTATTGGAATCACCGAAATTCAGCTATCTAATGAAAACTAAAAGTCTAAAAGAAAAGCTATGTTCATTGACAGATGTTTGAATAAGGAACATTATTTCGTCTTTGCTGCTACAGCTTGTTGAAGAAATCGCCCCATAAATAATATATATTTTTAAATTCTCGTAAATTAAGCTGTCAAATGACTATTCAAACTTATAGAACCACCGAAAAATTGGTTTTTCCCGAATGTTGGAACGCAGGGTGGATAAGGGAAAAGTACTTATTAAGCACAAGAATGCCTACTGTCGTACTGACAGTACTTAAATACGCCATCAGCAATGAGAATTAATTTTGTTTCTCTTACTAACATACCTGTCTTGAGTTGGTTTGATCAAATACCTTACGGTATCCCTTACAACCATTCTAATCAATTCGGCATGAATACCAGCCAAATAAGGGCTTGGATTTGTAATATCACAGCCTGGAACTTGATCTACAGTGATTGGTTTTCGTTGAAACATCGGGTGATTGATGAAGGCTATCTGACAGTCTTCTTGTTACACATCTTCTCAGCAAAAAGCAAATAACATTATTTTTCGTATTAATAGCAAAGCGCAAAAATTTGCTTTGTAGACTACTATCAGAGATTTGGGTGGCGTAGAGGTCAAAAGTGCCGTTCATCACCATCCAGTAGAGGTATAGGTTCGATTTCGTGTATGCTCGAGCGAGCGAGCCTCCTATGCTCGGGATGCTAAACTAATGCTAGATTTGCTTGGTAGAAGTTCCCTTGAACCCATAAAGACTGTTGACTGGGTGATGGGAATATTGGGTAAGACAATGATTTATAGAATGCACATAAAGTACGGCTATTTAAGGATTATAGAGAGAATCTATTCACTCGCACTCATCAAAAGATCAAATTCCAAGGCTCAAGAGCATATTTAAAAGTGTGAAGAGCTTCGTCTGAGCACTTTTTAGGTGAACAGTGTCAACTCGTGTTCTGAGAAGGTGCTTAATAAGCGACCCATAATTTATGTATCAACTTTTTCCGCTTGAGTTATGGAAGTAATCGAATGAGCACATAGAAAAATTTGTAATTATGCATAGTAATGTAGAGTGATGTGCAGAATCTTCGCTTCAGACGGGACTCGAACGCACATCTGATTCTATCCAAAAGCTCGTGCTCTATCCGTTACACCACTGACGCCCAATTTACACACCACTCCTTCCAAGCTGTAGCGCATCTAATTTTTCGCGAAGGCTTCGTACATCACTCTACATTACTGGGTATATTATCTATATTACTCTATATTACTGGGTATATAATATTATATAATATATATATATATATATATATATATATATATATATATATATGGGTATTAGTAACATCATAACATCGAAAAATCGGCCAAATAAAGGTTCTTATTTGAAGAGATGCGCTGTAACGTAGAAAGAGTGGTGTGCAAAACAGGCGTCAGTAGTGTAACGGATAAGAGCACACGCTCCCAAATAGAATGAGGTGCGGGTTTCTAGTCCCGTTTGAAGCGGAAGTTTCGCATATCACTCTACATTACTAAGTGTATTAGTAGCATAATAACGCCAAAAAAAACGGTTTTATAAGCGCTTCTATTAACTTTGTGAATTTAACATTTCAAGGTTCTCGAGAAAGCGAAGACGCCAAAATGGCATTCAGTGTTAGAATAATATTATAATAATGAATAAAATTTTCTAGAAGTATCATTAAGCTATAACTATATATATATATTCAAAGATGCTGAGTAATATGTAAAACTTTTGATCTCGGACAAGATTTGAGTCCGCATTATATCCAGACCGAGAAAACCTGCCTTGGATCGAAAATGGTGGTATCACTCAGTATGCTCGGATGTATTTGTGAGACTTATATGTGAGACAGCGACAAAGTATAAATCGATCTCATTCGCCGGACAGAAATTTTTCATAGGAATGTTAGTAATCATTAGAAAGCTCAAATTTCTGGCTACACCCTCATGTCGCCAATTCCTTGAGACACCCTTTTACAGCGCTGTAGAACCCAGAAAATTATTCACACCCGCCTTTCGCATCTGAAGATGCTGTCGATGTGATGATTAAATCCGCACTTGAATAACAATATTTCAGACGTAATCAGTCGCCCCGCTCCCCTCTCTGCTGCGTAATCTGGCCGACAAACAAGGCCGTCGAGAATATGAAATTCGAGCGATTTTCCCTGCTAAACGGTATTTTCAGGAAATAAACACAATGTTCGAATCATTGGAACTGACGACGTCGAATGATTACTAATAGACTACAAAAAGAGCTCTACCCAGCGATGGTTAAAGCACAAAAATATTCTACTTCCTACGGTGATATCAAAAGAGCTTTTACAAAAGACATGCACGTTTTTCAGTTTTTCGAAAGTTGTGCTATCGAATGAGTGCTAGCATTCTAAGGAAGAAGTTTTCCAGCGAAATTTAAGTGAGATCAGAAAAAAACACGTGGTCGTGTAAACATAATTTTATTCTGAATTTTATATCGCTATAAAAGGATGTTTTGTAGAACAAACCACGTGGATCTGTAGCAAGAGATTCATGTTTCGAATGATTGATAACGCTCTTATAGAATATCCTGTTCAGCAAATGTGATGGATTTATAACTTTGTCGCCGTCTAACATATGCGCATCTATTGGTGTAACATTATATTACTGTTATGTGAATGATAAAGAGAGAAACTGATCAAATTGTATATATTCAGTGGCTATCTGCTTGAATGGGTACAATTTCATGCGCTGTACTAGTCAGACGAAAGCCCTTGACAGTTGGGTGCTGATCAGCTTATATATTCCGCATTATATACGTTTGATATACATGTGCTGTAGGGAAGATTCATAACAGCTATGAAATGAATGCTGATGATACAGTATCACTCACTATAACGGTAACAACCATTATGAACTTTCAATGAGTGGTTCATGCCAATTCATGAAACACCAATGACGCCTTCTCCCCAGATCAGTTGTGACCGGCATCCAAGTAACTACAATCCGTCATCTAAACACCATATTAACCCTCGGTGCGTGAGCGAGATCTGACACCGCGGCGTATAACGCAAATATGTTGAGCGCTACCCAAAGGGTTTCTAACTCATAAACAGAACTTCTAGTCACTTATATAATGCAACCGCGATTACGCACAGAAAACATCGTAGGATTTCCCATCAGCTTACGAATTCACACCGAAAATGTGGGAAACCTTTACACGATTAAACAGCGTATTCTCACACATTACCTCTGTCACTTCCTATGGTGAAAAGCGTCTTTTCATCCAAATATCGTAC